TTCCATCACCTTTTACAATCTTGCAACAAAGGTGCAGCAACGTATTGTTCAAATCCATATAATCTTTGCCATTCCCAACAATGAAAAAGTCAAGGGGGGCAGACTCTGTAATAGCTGAGAGTGGGGGGGTCTCAATGTACAGACTTTTCTCAATATTGGTCTGTGTGGTGGCTATCTGAAACAAATCCAGCTCAGATTTGGTACACTCTTCGGATCTGACATGAACAAAAGCCATGACCGTTAAAATATATTTCTTTTTCTTCCAGGAGAGCTCCTCTTCTTCCTCCCAGACAGTTGCTTCTTGGTCTTTCATTTCTGTCTGACCTGGCGCCTTAGCTTCTTTCTTTTAAGGGGTTGGGGCAGGCCTGTACACCGGGGATGTGACGCAGCTCTCTTTCTTTTAAGGCTCCTTTTTTTAATATACACAAGGCCAGACCCGCCCTGATTTGTTGACTGGCCCACCTTATCTAGAACAGCTTGGGAGATGTGGCCAACCACATCCTGGGCTATGTTTTGAGCGGCGCTCTTAACATGCGGTTTAATAATCTCCAGGCCCCTTTTCAAAAGAGGGATGGCTTTCTAAACAGACTGCAGAATATGCCTCCCACACCAGCCCCATACATCACGGGCATCCCCTGATAACCGGGGAGACCATACCCAGCTTGAGTTTTGTAATAATTTCTGTACAAGGATGGATCCCCATAATTTTTTACCACCACCATTGTGTTTTTTCTTATTTCAAAGCACCAAAGTCCTTCGGGGACGCAGGTGGAGCTTAACGATCACCTTGCCAAAACGAAATGAGACGTGTCTATTCTGATCCGTCTTTATTTCAATGCTGATTGTGTCAATGTGGTGCTGACTCATGGGGATATAGTGCGGCTTGTCATATGCAATAGTGACAAACTCATTGTTTTTTCCACGGGTAGGTACGCAGCGTAGCAAGGGAACCGAAAAGTCCCCAACAAGCTGGTGTTCAACAATGTCCGTGTAGAGATACAATGAATTGAACCCTCCGATAATATCAACTGTAAAGGGGGTTCTTTTAACAGTGGATCCAGGTAGTAACCCCAAAATATAGGCTAGTTCACCACCAGTAGAAAAAGCATAAGAGTTATCGCTGGCTTTCAGTCTAATTTTTCTGCTCACCTGATCATA